GCCCAAATTCTAAGCAACATTTCTCCAAAGCAGATGCTTTCCATACAAGGAAAAGCTTAAATAATTTGTTCAGTGAGCTCTTTTGAAAGCTGTAAATTTGTTGCATTCTTCCTATCTCAGAGTTGCCTAATTAAAATATATATATGTCTATGTATTTTTTGATAGGAGAAGGCACTTGGCATCTAATCCTGTTGCTCATTGAATGGCTTTGGAAAGTCATTTCACTTCTCTGAAGTTCCATTTTTCCATCTATAAAATAAAGGGTTTGAGCTAGAAGATGTCTAAGGTGCTTTCCAGCTCTAATAACCTGTGCTATCAATCCAAAAAGTGACTGTTCTATTCTTGCCGTGTTCATAAGCTGATTAGCAACATTCTATGCAGAACAATTTGGGGGAAGAATAAAATAAATCTTCCTTGATCCAAAAAGTCTGCTTCTACCTGCTAGAGCTCCTGTCCTGAAATACTCCTTCCTGAGAATGTCACTTTATGACTTTAATCCCTACTGTACTGAAAATTACCCAGGAAGATGTATTAGCAGGTTATTATTTCTTTTTAAGTCTTTGTGTATAACAAGTAGGCGATGGGGAGGAAGGCAGAGCTGGGATGGGGGGGCGATGGTGGAAACGGCTAGAGGACAGGGGCCTTAACAGAAGCCAAATTTCATCTAGTTATTAAATGAACTGGATATAAACTAGATGAATTAGATAGAAATCTAAAATTAGATCTAGTTCGAATGTTGCCTGTATCTGGGCAATGGCAAAATTAAGCTAATGCAGTCAACATCTTGCATCAGAAGCCACAGGCTGTGAGTGGTCCCTGTGGGCTCCCTCCCCGCTGAAGATGGGGGAAGAATTGCTGGCCAACACCCTGGCTCTGGAAGGAAGCAAGCCTGCCATGGTACAGCACTGGCAGGGGAGTGGTGGGATAGGGTGCCAAGCCCTGCTCAGATCCTCACCTACTGCCCTGTCCCCCAGATGAGACTCCAGACCACCAGGAAGCACAAACGTAATTTTATAGTAGCCTTGGTTTTCTCTGAATGTTGCATTCATGGCTACAGAAATGGAATTACTTTCTATTCTTCACTAGTTGCCCATCTTTCTCTCTTCTCTTCTCAGTTCCCTCCTGCACCACAAGAACCTTCACTTTGTCTATCCAAACCCTCTTCCTCTATTTGCAGGAGGAGGGAAGCTCTGTAGTTGCTAGGTACACCCAGCCATAGGATTGTTGGCGAATTGGGCAGAGGCTGATAAAATACTTCCCTACAAGTGGAAGGAGAGGGGGATAGCAAGCAGCCCTCATTGAAACTCTCGTTGATGCAGAGGTGGAAGAGTGTTCCTGGCTTCCCCAACCAAGGCTTGGCACCCCTCCTCCTAGACTATACTTTCTGGAGGTGAAGGAGGGCAGAACTCAATAGGAGTGGGCTGCATCCTAAATTTCAAGCATGTCCAAAGTCCCAGCTGAGCCTTAACCACCTTTAATAAATTCCAAGATCATGAAAAGTTGACTACAGGTATGTTTCAACCTTGATGCATACCCTCCTCTCAGCGTGCCCCTCCTGCCCTGCTCTGCATGCTATATTATGGCTGAGGACAAAGAACAGGTCAGGCCGCCAAGCCTGGTCATTCTTTTTTTTTTTTTTTTACCTTCCTGTGATCTGCCAGAACTTTGGTTGACTTGGACTGAAATACTGCCCTTTCATTATTTGCTAACGATTGCCAGTAAATGATGCATTTGAATTTCCAGAAATATGATAAAATTTCAAAATCTTGCATTTTGAGAAGAGAGCTGGCTCCATCAGTATTTTCACACAATGGTATTAGCGACTAGAACTAGAACCAAACTACTGTAGAATCAAAATACCAATTCATGAATCTGTTCATTTTTAACCCTAATGCATACATACATTAAGTGGGCTTTATCAAAGAACTATGGAAAGTTGTGATCCATTCATTTGTCAGCACTGAGTGTACACTGCCTGAGAAAGCCTGGGTGGGGACTGAGATGACCCAGGCACTGGTATCAAGGACAGAATTCGGGCTGCAGCTATAGACTGCGGGGGAATGCATCAGGCAGAGCTCATTCTGTCCTCTGCCACTTAAAACCTTCCGGTGGCCCCTCATTGCCTGTTCTTTCCCAGGTGCCCTCCTTAGCATGGCATAAGGGGATCTTCGCCATCTGAGCTTGCATAATTCTCCAGCTCCCCCCTCTCCACCTGCCTCCTGAACTCCAACCACAGGTAACTCCTAACACATCCTCAAACCCAAGGCCCCTGACACGACGGTTCTTCACACGTGCTGCCCCTCTGGGCCCTGCCAGCACAGCACTTCCCTCACTCCCACTCCTTTGAGACACCATGCCATCTCCTTCTGGAACACGTCCCTAATTCCACTAGGATGGGAAGTTTATCATGTAATATTTAAATTATGTTTACTTTTCTGTGTCCCTCTGCACTGTGAGTTACTTGAGGGCAGGAGCTGGATCTTTATGGCTAAGTATTCCCAGTCCTAGCATAGCTCCTGACACGTACTAGGCATTTAGTAAATAATTGCCATATAAAGAAAACTGGAAAATGTGGTATACAACAACTTCTCAGGGCTTAGGGACTACTCAGAGATGGGAATAAACAAGAGCTAAGAGTCAATGTGGCCTGGGATCAACTGTTCAGCTGGGGGGAGGAGAACTGAGTACCTCTTAACCTGAATGTGTGACTCAGGAGCTGGTGGGTGGATTTTGGAAGCGGGCCAAGCTTCTAAAGCCAGAAGCCTTCCTGCACCACAGTCCAGTCAAGGGAGCCGTAGATAAGTACAAGAAGGCAAGACCCCAAAGCCCATTGTCTAACATTATTTCTCTCTGTGTGTTTTTCTGTCTATTCATAAATAGATGTCTGGAATCATGGTCACCCAATGTCAATGATAATTACTTCCAAATGGTGAGATGTTTTCTCTTTCACTTTATGTTCTTTTTTTACTTTCTTGTTTATATTTTTCTTTTGTATTTTTTAATATAATTAGCATCAAGAACTGTGAAGGCATATACATACCATGGAATATTATTCATCCTGAAAAAGGAACGAAATCCTGACACATGCTAGAACGTGGATGAATCTTGAAGACATTATGCTAAGTGAAATAAGTCAGACACAAAGAGATAAAATGTATGATTCCACCTGTATGAGGTCCCTAGAGTGGGCAAATGCATAGAGACAGAAAGTAGAACAGTGGTTACCAGGGGATGAGGGAAGGGGAATGAATGAATGTTTAGTGGGTAGAGTTTCAATATGGGATGATGAAAAAGTTCTGGAGATGTATAATGGTGATTGATGGTTGCACAACAATGTAAATGTATTTATTGCTACTGAACTATATACTCAGAAAGGACTAAACTGGCAAATTTTATGTTACATAAATTTTATGTTACATATATTTTACCACAATTTAAAAAAAAAGAACTGAGAGGTCATAGATCTTACCTTACTTGCAAGCTAACAAGAGAGCCTGCTACAGTTTCATGGATGCTGCCAGAAGAAATGGAAAGACAAAGTCAAAGAGAAATAGCAGCAGCCACAGCATCAGCATATTCTTCACTGGTTTGCCAACCCCCGTTGGCAGGGCAACATGAAGAGGACGGATGACACTTGTACTCCCAGTGGGCTGCATTACAGGAGAGGAATCTTGACCTGTTATAGTTAGCATTAAGCATACCTGCTGCACAGGGAGAAAAGCTCCTTATTATACTGGATAGCAAGCATGTCTGTATTTTGCTCTGGCTAGAGACCCCTTCTCTGTCTTCAAAGGCTGTTCACCGTACAAACAACCCTGAAAAAGCAGCCTGGAACAAAGGAGAGTGGAGCCTTGCCTGCAACATGTGCAGAAACGTGAGAGACCCATGGAGAATTGTCTCCCAACAATGAACATATACTATTTTTACAAAACAATAAAGGTTTTTTCCTTTTTTAAAATGAGAAGCAGACTAAAGATCAGCAGATCTGACTCTCCAGTTTCAATTTATTTTGAATTTCCTTTTAACAGTTTATAGCAGTATAATTGACACACCATAAAATTAATCTATTTTAAGATTAAAGTTCAGTGAGTTTTAGTAAATTTATATGATTCTGCAACATTACCAAAATCCAGTTCTAAAACACTTCCATCACCCCAAAAAGTTCCCTGATGCTTGTTTGCAGTTAATCTTTGGTCCCATCTATGGTCTAGGCAACACTGACCCACTTTCTGTCTCTATAGTTTAGCCTTTTCTAGAAATTTCACACAAATGGAATCATACAATATGTCCTCTTTTGTGTCTGGCCTCTTTCACTTAGCAAGTTGTTTTTGAGTTTCATCTATGCTGTTACATGATTCAGCACCTTGTTTCTTTTTATTGCTTAGAAGTGTTTCATTGAAAGATACACAACTTTTTGCTGATCCATTTATCAATTATTGGATGTTTGCATTATACCAAGGTTGGGGCTATTATAAATAATGTTATTTTGAATTTTTTCTTATATAATTAACCAAATGAAGCATCAAAACACTGACCAAAAATTATTGATACCTAACACTTACACAGTACTTACTTTTTGCCAGGTCATATTATAATTGCTTTATATGTATTAGCTTTATTCTTCACAACAGTCTATAAGGTGGGTACAATTACTATTATGCCCTTTGTACTGATGAGAAAACTGAGGTACAGAGAAGTTCAGAAACCTGCTCTAGGACATACAGCTAAAAATGGTTACAGCTGGATTCAAATTCAGATAACCCAGATCCAGAGTTAATATGCTTAATCGTATGCAATATTCCCTCGTAAATTTAAGACCATTTCTGATAAAATTCTATAACTTCCTCAATTATTTTAATACTGTAGATATCATTTTTACATTGAAACAGGTATATGTCTCTGTGTTTCCCTCTTCTCTTTCTTTCATACCCCAGGTTCCCTTTCTTCCCCCAGTCCACACTGAAACAGAAAAAAAGGTGCAAAACCAAAACAAAACCAACCTTTAGACTGCGTAGTTTCAGATGCAAGCTTACAGTGCCGGCTTCTCCTATCCTGCTCACTAGATAAGACTGGCCCTGAAAAGAATAAGAAAAAGGCAGAGTAGCCACTAGAACAGGAGAGCAAGGATCCCAGGATGGGTGACCCTCAATCGGGAAAGAAAAGGACCTTTGGCGGAAAGAACAAAGGAGTAGAGAGAAGGAAGGAGGATAATTTATCCTGAAAAATGGACTCTTAAACTTGAGGATAGCCATAATGCTGCTAAGTGAAATAAGCCAAAAGGACAAATACAATATGATTCCACTTCTATGAAGTACCTAGAACAGTCAAGGTCATAGAGACAGAAAGTAGAATGGTAATTTTCAGGGGCTGTGCTGGTGGGCTGGGGAGGGGGAATTAGGAGTTCGTGTTTGATGGGTATGAAGTTTCAGTTAGGGATGATGAAAAAGTTCTGGGGTGGGTAGTGGTGATGGTTGCAAAACAATGTGAATGTACTTAGCACCAGAGAACTTTACACTTAAACATGGTTAAAATGCAAATTTTATGTTACATACATTTCGCCATAATAAAAAAAAGGGACAGGGACTCTGTTGATCTATCACCACTCAGCAGTCCTAGACAATGATAACCTCACCCTCCACAACAGAAATGGGAGACTTGGCCACCCGGTGGAGGTGAGAAGAGCATGAAAGGAGAACCACGCCCCTCCCTAGGGCTCTCCACGAGGGGCAGCAACGAATGCACAAGTATCACACTTGATTCTCATCAATGTCCTCCCCTGTCCATAGCTGCCCTTTCAATAACAATTAATGAATGCATTGTATTACTCCACCATAATGTGTGTCTCTCGATGTTGAGCATATGGATATTTCCAGTCATTCACCAGGACTAGAAGTTGAAAGCATGCATTATGGACGTCTTCATTCTCAACCCAGCTCTTTTATCACCTCTGTGTGTGTTCCTTTGAGCAGCCTTTTAGCCTCTCTGGCTCTGGTGTTTTGATAGATCCTCTAATAAAGTGGGATTAGAAGAGTTGTTCTCCTTCCTGGCTACACATTAGGGTCACCTGAGGAGCTTTTAACAGTACTCAGGCTCAGGCCATATTCCAAGACAATTAACTCAGAATCTCTGGCATGGGACATGAACATGAGTATTTTTTAAAAGCTCCTAAATGATTCTAACATCAGCCCAAGAGAAAAAATAATCTCTTAGGTCTCTTTCAGTTCTAAAATGGTGAAAGCCTCTGAATTAAAAAGAAAGCTATAAATGTTTTGTACAAATAGAAGTATGATTCCTTTTCAACTACCTTCTTGGGAAGTATGTTCCCAGAAGGTACTATGAATTGAAGGGTATGTTTTATGAGATTGCTGTTTGGAATAATTAGGCCAATCTATAATGCCACCAACTAAATATGAAAGTACTCTTTCCTTATTACCTCATCAATATTGGGGTATTTAATTTTAATTTGTTTTAGCAAGTTTAACAGATGTGAGATGTATCTCATAGCCATTTTTATATGCATTTTAAAAATTCTTTGTGAGGCTGGACATTTCCTTAAATGTTAGCCCACTATTTGGCTTTTCTTTTGTGTGAGCTATCCTTTGACCTTTGCCATGTAGGTTAATTATTTTTCCTGAGATCATTACTAATCTGTTAATATAATAATAAAATAGCTCCCATTAGTTGAGACATACTGTGTGCTAGATACTGTGCCAGTGCTTTACAGATACTATTTTATTTTTTAAAAAACTCCCCAAGTCATTTATCATCCCCAAGTTATAAATGAGAAAACTAAGGTTCAGAGAGGTTAGGCAAGTTACCCAAAGTCACACAGCTAGTAAACAATAGAGCTGGGATTTGAATCCAGTTTCAACTGGCTCTAAAGCTCCATTCTCTTTGCTAGACAGGTAAGCGCTCAATGCCTGCCCTACTCACACACCTTCCTGAGGAAAGCTGCTCTGCTCAGAGTACTTGCTGATGTTTAGAAGTACACGACTCTTGTTTTCTGACCACAGGTGATGGGGTCGTTTTAGATCCAAATATAACTGATGTATATCCTGGCCAGCAACCTACAGTGAATGCCCTGGGCCAAAAAGGCGAGCCAAGCCAACCATGTTCCTGCCTTGAGAATCTGAAGCTGGAAATGTTGAGTGTGAATACACTTAACAGAAGGAGCAAAAGTCAAAACGGCTGAATCAAGGGAGGCCATGAGAACATCTGGAATCAGACAACCCATGGCAGGCTGAAGTGATGAGGGAACCACAAACTGAAGTTAGCAGAGTACAGTTGGTAGGGAATAAACAAAATGGATGTGCTTAGAGAAGCAGAGGTGCAATCTGAGAGCAACCATTTGGCCCCTGAGAGAAAAACCAAAGAGCTAAGCCCTCAAGCTACCTCTGTTTTCAGGTTAGATCCAGTCATATGTATTCCTAAAGTATGTATCCTTCTTATTTTTGAGCTGACTGGACTGTGTATCTGTTCCTTGCTATCAAACAAGCCAAAATAAAATATGCCTTCTTTAAACTTTAAAAATTCTGAATGTTAAGCTTTTATTTGTCACATTTACCACAAAAGTTTTCATTTCAATTCTTTCCTTTTTTCCATTACATTTTGACTTTTGTAAAAGTAGAACCATCAATCATTTAATCAGTAACAACTTCACCTGTCAAAAACTTATATTCATGCAAATTATAGTAACAGAAAGTAGATTAAAGGTTGCTGGGGCCAGGGCAGGGCAGAAGTGGGAAGACTTGGGAGGATGGGTCACGAAGGGGCATGAGGAAACTCAGTGGGTGATGGGTATGTTCATTACCTTGATCGTGGTGATGGTTTCACAAGTGTATACATATGTCAGAACGTGTCACATCATACAGTTTAAATATGTATAGTTTACGTATGTCAGATACCTCAAAGCCATTTTAAAAAATTTACATTTTTCTCCCCAATGAAGATACTTACACAATTCTATTCCATTCAACTTACTATGCTTTAAGTTTTATGCTTAACTATAACTTACCTCCAACTAATTGTGGTAGATGCCATAAGAGATTAATTTAAGTCTATTTTTCTCAGTTTTAATATTCTATTGTACAACTGTATTTCATAAATAATTCTTTCTTTCACCATTGGAAAATCTATTTCTATTAATATTTTTCATTCCTTGGCCAATTTTCCTGGGGTTTTTGTTGTTGTTGTTGTTGTTATTTTTTTAAAGACAAGGTCTAATTCTGTTGCTTAGGCTGAAGTGCAGTGGCCCAATGATAGCTCACTGTAATCTTGAACTCCTGGGCTCAAGTGATCCCCACCCCCTACTCAGCTTCCTGAGGAGCTGGGACTACAGGTGCATACCATTACACACAGCTAATTTTTCTGGATTTTTTTGTAGAGGCGGGTCTCACTATGTTGCTCAGGCTGGTCTTGAACTCCTGGCCTCAAGTGATCCTCCCACCTCGGCCTCCCAAAGTGCTGGGATTACAGGTGTGAGCCACTGCACCCAGCCCCAATTTTCCTGTTTTTAAAACATAGTACCATCTGGTTTGGAGGTTTGGAATTTCATTCCTTTGTAATGTTTTAAAGTCATGCTAAGTGCACGGATCTTAATGAGCATTTTATATGAAAAGAGTATAAAATAGAGAGAATATTAAATATTTTATTCATTGTTCTCTCCTGCCTTAGACAATAATTTTTATTGGGCCTATCTACCCAAACACTATCTAACCTGTCTATAGCTAATCTGGCCACTTCAACTACCTATGTACCAAGACAATTTCATTCTGGGCCAGCAGACCATACAGAAATTTGATAACAACATTCAACTTGTTGAGTTTCAACACAGGACTACTTTCATCATTTAACCGCTTCCTAAAACTCCCTTATTTTTTCTACTGCCTTTGCCACAGTGTTCTTAAATAAAGTTTACAGTCTTAACTAAGGATTTATTGAGCACACATGACATGCCTGGCAACCTGCAAGGTACTGGGAGTACAAACAGAATAAGGCACTCTTGGATAACATGTCCCTCTTAATATCATGGTTCTTTCTTTTTCCTGGAGCAAGTAATGAATTGTGGAGCACACAGTAGACACTGAAGAATACTGACCTTGGTAAAGCCAAGTTGTGAACCTAACCTTTAGCTCATTGGCCTTTCAGGGATTACTGGGTAATGCTGCCAGGTCAGGGCTTTAATGCTTTACTGAACTGGCATTCTGTGGGGCAATGTAAAATGAGGCATTCTGCATTAAATATCGACAAGTCATATGAAATGGAAACTGCCTACGGAAATCATCTACCATTATTTCTCCAGGAGAAAGAAGAACTCAGAATCAAAAGTCATAATATACTTACAGGTGGCTGACAACATATAATAGACATTTTCCCAAGGCACTGACTTCAGAGGCATTAAGCCTTTCTGGAAAGTCTGCAAGAGACCAGAGAGTCTCTTTTACCGGGAAGAACGACAAAAAAAAAAGAGTCAACATTTCGAGTAAATATTCCCACTTTAAATTATTAGCATAGTCATCCTTATCAATAGTGAGTATGCTTCCAATCAATGCAGCATAAAGGCTGAAAGCTCAGGCTGTGAAGTCATACAGATCTGTGTCACATTCCTGCTTTTTCTTCTTACCCACAGTATGACCTTGGGCAGGTCACTGACCTCTTCAAGCTTCATGTCCCTCATGTGTAAGATGGATGTGACAGTAATTACCTTGCCAGTGATATTAATGAGTGGTAATGTGAATGAAACATTTAGTAGAGAGCCTGGCTGAATAAAGAATAATAACAATAATTTATTGTTTTATTGTTATCATTAAAAGTATACATTGAGAAATTTCTACTTAGCTATTGTAAAAGCCACATAAGATATATTTACAGGCTAGTTGGGAAGCAAGTCATATATCAAAAAGTAGAGGGCAACCCAAAATTATTTACTATTT